AGCCAGGTGTCGAGGGCTTTATTGGAGAAAACTTCAACTAAAATTGAGGGCAAGTCCAACATTTTATTAGATGCTCTCTGTTGCAATGCAATTCATTCTATCCCAATCTGGCTCCTGTCATCCCTCGGCAGTGTGGCTAGTGGTCACAATAGGGTTTATAGTCAATGCATCTGGAGGACCCTCAGTTTCTTCCATACAAATGTTTTATTTCCTTCTTCATTATCTCATACTATTGCTTTGACAGCAGTTTCTGCAACATGCCTAGTAGAAGCTTCTATGGAAATGGACAGCAGATAATATTCTTGGAAACAGCTTCTCATTTATTTATGTATTGTCTCATACTCATAGCTTGAAAGAGTTACTTTTATGGGACTACAGCAACATACTAAGATCTATTTGTTGTTGTTAACTACCTTCAAGCCAACTTTGACTCATGGCGACCCTATACTTACAAGTCTCCCTGTCTTCAACTGCTACACAGAATTCCCACCATCCCTCCCCAATGGCTACACTGGCTAAAGCTGCTGGAAATTGCAGTCCAATGATAACTGGAAGGTCCTATGTTCCATAAGTGCTGTTTTAAACACTGCATTACAGAATGCAAGAAATTCTATGCTTTGGAGTCTTACTTAGGCTCATGAAACTGGGCTGGTAGATGTGGACAGTGGCAGCTGGTGGCTTCCATGTCAGTGGGATGGTGGATCCACTCCGAATGTTGAATCTATCTTGGATAGTTCCTTTTATGTTCAGGCTAAAACATGAAGTGGATTTCACACCCTACTGACACGGATGTCCTGAGCCACTACCGGTTATGGACTCTGCCCCACCCTAATGGCAGCCATTTTAGCTCTTTCAAAAGTCTACATGGGGGGGCTGTGCTGAACTGGACAGATTCATAGAGAGAAAGAATTCTTAAAAATTGGATGGAGGCACCTTCTGTGAATAGAGCCCATTTCTCCATGTAAAGACACTCAATCTTTCACTGCTCTGAACCATGAAGTCCTTGACAAACCATAACAATCACAGAAGGGCAAAGAAACACAAAGTAGTACAATTTTCCCATCAGGGAGTTTTAACAAAACAAAATGCCCATGTACTCCCTGGCATTTTCTTTATTAGAAAAGACTCTCACATCCTCCCATACCTAGACTATCTTAACCCAGTAAATCCTTTATTAATTGTAAAGGAACCACAATCTCAAATCCACTTGCACCTTTAATCTCTCTGAGTCTATGCAGGAAAGCTTTTTCGATATTGTATTTTGGCAGTTCTGTAGAAGCAACAATGTTAGTAATAGAAAAATGTCAGCCAGATGCTGAAAAAAGACTCTCCAAAGGCATGTATTGGCTGAGGAAGCAGTTACATGGGAGGAGCAATTCTGCTTCATTTGAGGTTTTAAAACCATACAGAGCAACATATGCTTGTGGGGATGTTGGGGAGAATGTTGTATATGGAAGAACATCCTGCCCCTCTATCCACATAAAACATAATCTGGGATGACAATGAGCAGCAGACCTGCCACAGAGTGTGAACATCTTGCTAAGACTGTGGATTTATTTCCAGGATTTAGCCCTTTCTAGCATGGTGTGTAAATCCCTTGCTATATCTACACTCCAATCACTCCAGGCCATTCCAAGGAGTCCGAGATGGCAGAAGGTGTGTGTAAGCCCAATCAGTAGCTTTATGGGGTGAATCTCCAAAGCAGTTCATTCCTTGTCTTTCTTTTCACCTGCAGCAGAGGGATTAAGTTGAGAACATCAGCTTCCAAAGTATAAAGCAGCCTCCTCCAACCTGGCATCCTCCAGATCCTTGCCAATTACAGATCCCATAATACACAGCCAGCATGGCGTGTGGCCAAGGTTATGGGAGTTGTAGTCCAACAGATCTGGAAGGCATGAAGCTGGAGAAGGCTCAGAGTGGCAGCCCTTCTGGAACATCACCCACAAAACTCCAGAGACGTCTGTGGAAATTCCAGCTACATAAGGGCACAGGAGTGAGCCTTTTCGGTGGACTGCTCCCAAGCTATGGAAAACCCTTCACATGGGAGCTGACTTCCTCTCTGCTTTCTTTCTACCAGTAGGCAATCTGCATTTTGAGCCAGCATGGTGTAGTGGTTTGAGCACTGCATTATGACTCTGGAGACCAGGATTCAAGTTCCTACTCGGCCATGGAAATCCATTGGGTGACCTTGGGAAGGTCGTGCACTTTCAGCATCAGAGAGAAGCAATGGTAGCAAACCTGTTCTGAACAAATTCTACTGGGAAAACTTGCCTTAAGGTTGGCATGAGTTAGAAACAACTTGGATCCACATAACAAACTACCTCTTACTACCTACTTCTCTCTGTTCCTCATACTGCTCCTATTTGGTCCTTGCTTAGTACCTTATGGGAACAGAAGTGGAGAGAAGTATACTCTCTTTATTGAAAGGAGGATGTCTATGGAATTGTGTGCAACACCACTTTGAGTATTTAAAAATCTACATATCAAATGATTCTGTGAACAAGGCTCTTTTCTTCAGTGTCCTCTCAAATCTTAAATTTCATTTATCTTCATAGTCAACACACAAAGCTGAATGACAAGGAACAATTGAAAAGAGGAGAAGGGAGGAGGGAAAAGAACATGAAAAAGAGTAAACAAGAAACAGTTAAACACACAAATTTGGAAGTGCACAATTATAGCAGTCTGATCCCACTTTAACTGACAGGGCTCCATGCTATAGGAATCCTGAGCTTTGTAGTCTGGTGAGGGACTGACAATTATCTAGTGTACTTTCCCTGAATGATAGTACTAGAGCTCTTTGGCAGAGAATTCTAAATCCCTCGTGAAACTATACATCCCAGGATTCCATAGGGCAGAGCCACAGCAGTTCAAATGGCAACAAAGTGCTTTAATGATGGACCCACCCAAAGTAGCTGAAACATCAAGAATTCCTGTGGCACCTTAGAAACTAGCAGATTCATTATGGTATATGTTTAGTGGACTAACGTCCACTTCACAAGCATGAAATGCTACCCAAAGTTAGTGGTATGCCTACATGCATGGGAGAAGCCGTTAACAGATTGCAGAAATACAACCAATGGTCATTCACAAAACTACTGATGGAGGATAACACAGATATCTTTGTATCAGTGAGGTAATTCAGACATGTAGTGTGATGATAATGATAATAACAAGAGCAAGAAGAGATAGAACTGAATTTCTTGGTGAGCTCTGGTTGAGCTGTTTCCCATTGAAATATGGTTTTGGAGCAACTTAGTTCAGGAACGAATTCCCATATCCTCATGAGACTGGAAGTGACACAGACATTTATGCAGTTTTTACAGAGCCAGTGTGGCATAGTGGTTTGAGCACTGGACTATGACTCTGGAAAACAGGGTTTAAATCCCTGCTCGGTCATGGAAATCCATGGGTCATCTTGAGCAACTCCTATTCTCTGAAGCTCAGAGGGAGGCAATGACAAACTCCCTTTGAACAGATCTTGCCAAGAAAACCCCACGCTAGAAGTCTGAAATGACTTGAAGGCATACAACAACAAGTTCAGGAAGGTGTTTAACAACCGTTTAAACTCTTTAAGCTGGGGCTTGGATCAGGCAGCTTTTCAACTGTAGTCATGCACTGGTGGCATTCCCTTCTTCTGCAAAATACTTCCACCAAATCCCCAAATTGTTTTTAAGTTAGAAGAGTTTAATGAGCAGGAGATCATTAAGAGGAGAGGGACACGGAAAGGAGATGTCTAAGGGAAAAGCACTGCTCTCACAGATCACAATTAGAGGGTTTGAAAAAGAAAGAGAAATGCCTAATCCCACACTTGATGGTGACTCACAGTAGAAAAGGCTCAAGGAAAGCTAAAGTGATGGATAAGTCAAGAAGGATAGACGGAAAACAAAAGTGGGTGGAAGGGACAATCTTTCAAGCTGATTTAGCATCATGGCTTTGCTAGCCTCACTGTGCTAGGATTCTGATTTTATCTTTTTTTGGGAAATGATATACATTTCCATTTTGAACAAATGAACTGATGTTAGTACCATTTTTATTGCATTTATTTTCTGTTTCTGTATAATAATAAAGCATTCAGAACACAGTTGTGTACTCACTTACCTGGGAGAAAGCTCATGGACTTCAGCAGGTCATGTTTCTGAGATAACGTGTGTAGAATTGCACTGTAACACTGTTTATATTCAAAATGTGCATTTTAAAAATTATAGCAATAAAATCTGCCTACAACGCAGCTCAGCACAACTGTTTTCAAGCCCCTCCTGTTTGTACAGTACATTCAAGAGGAAAAGGCAGGATCCAAAAGCAAAGGAGAGCAAGACTTTTATTAGCAACTGATCAAAATGTCACAACTCTAGCAAGCAGGTGATGGTCAGTCCTCCACAATCCAGGTGTTCAGTACATTCCTCCCATTGCTGGTCTTGGATCAAGGAAACTATCCTGCTCCAAGACCAATCAAAGACAAGACAGAGAGGAAAAAAGAGATGAGATGAGGAAGAGGAGGAGGAGGAGGAGGAGAAAGAGGAAGAAGAAGAGAAGGGAG